ATTAGGGAAAATCGAGAATAGTTTGGGGTGTATACGGTTCATTAAGAGAATATGCAAAAGAATTAAGTAGCGATAATAAAAAGAGGGTGATTAATGAATAAACTCACTATTCCGTCATAGATTCCCCCTTGGCATAGATAGGTTTCCTATCTCCCTTTGCACCAAAGTTGGTGATTTCAAAAATTTCATTCTCGGTACTAGCGGGAGTTGCAAGGCCACGATGACATTCAACCACAATGAAGAAATAAGAAATGGCTAAAATGAGGATAATTGTGAAATTGTATCCATTAGCATTAGCCATTTATTAGTGTGACCTTGCAACTTAAAAGGAAATTGGAAACTTAAGAGATTTGAGGGTAAATGTTGCTTATATATAAGAATAAGAATAATAACAAATTGGATGGATACAACAATTTATCAAAGTATAGTTCATTAATTGTCTAAGAATAGGAATGTATTCTATATTTTAGCATAGTTATTCAAATTTTAAAAACATATATTTAGAGATTTTCTCTTGACCATTAGTAATGAGACTTTCAAGGGTCTTTATTGATTCCAGTATTATTATTAACGTAAATTAGACACAAATTCATTGTCCATGCATGACCTAACAAGAAGTGAAGTTAACAACAATATAATACCCATTCACTGTTTTCTCTTTTTAGCTTACACCAAACTAATTAGTATTCTATCTTTAAAAAAAATAATAATAAAATATATTAAATATTCATAAATTCTTATGTATGGTTGGCCACATCGTGTGGCCAGTTATCATGGGTGTTACCTTGTTATCATAAAAGGAATAATAAAGCAAAAGAGGGAAAGCGTGTCCTTATATTGCTTTCACAAATTCTTCAAAAAGGCGGGTGTATGTTAATGTATTGTAAAACGGGTTAAAGTTATTATAAAAGCATTTAAAGTTACTCTTTATACAACAAAAGTTATTATTTTTCTAATAATAAATTTTATCTTATAAAAAACTTATAATGTATTAGATTAATCATATTAGCCTTTATAGTATGTAATCATGAATCTATAAGAAATTACACATTACAATAAAAATTCAAACTAACGACAAATTAAAAGTTACCCTTTGAGTGGTTAAAGTTAGTATAGAAATAGTTAAAGTTACCTTCATACTGATCGTTTTACAATAAAATTAATGTAGACCCGTCTTACACAAGACTTATTGTATTACTTTTTAGGCCTTGGGGTGGGTAAGAAGTAATAAAAGTGAAAAAAAAAAATTACCATAAAAGGAATAAAGCAAAATAGGGAAGTTAAAAATAAAATAAAATAAAATAAAATAAAACCAAATCAAAACGCATTGTGAGAAAATAAAAAAAGAACGAAGGGAGTCAGTATGATTTTCCATTAATCAAACATTTATCTTTATAATATAGGTGAAAAGGGAGGGGGAGTAAAATATTGGTACCCAAATTATGGACTATCCAATATACCCCTTCACTTTATGTATTTATTATTTTATCTAAAACAATTTAGGCAATTAAAAAAAATCTTTGATTGGGACAAAATCGGAAAGAATTAACGATTGAGATATAATTGATTGGTTATCAAATCTTGAAAATTAGGAAATATTAAAGGTTTAATAATATATTCCTTACTCATTTCATATTTCTATCAAGTTTCCCCATTGTTTATATCAAGTTCAATTATTAATCAAAATAATATAAATTATATAATACATAGTACTCTCTCCATCCCTTATCTACATGTCTATTTCTCTTCATTATGTGAGTAATAAATATTAGAAATAGGCATGTAGATAAGGGACGGAGGGAGTAAAAGATTTTAAGACCATATGTCTTTAATTTATACTTTATATGATTCTAGTTGTTTATTATATAAAATGTTATGCACACGTCGCGTGTGCAAACGCTGTCAATTATTTAGGTCAACTCATGAGTAGTATAATGTTTGATGTATGAATGAAAAATTCATTTTAATAATCCCAACTTTGTCCAATTTACTTTAAATATTCTCAACTTTCGTTTATTCTGCAATAATCCCAACTTTCACCTGCATTTTCTTTTTTCAAACCCGATTACATGTAACCGAAAAAAAGGGTTAAATTTTTTAAATATATTATTTGTCATGTGTTGTGTAATTAGTTAAATAAATAAATTAATTAAAAAAATTAAAAAAAATTAAAAAAAATTAAAAAAAAAAGAAAAGAAAAAAAAAACCACCAGCCACTAAACGCTTGTGGCCACCCCCTTTCCCCAACCGGCCAGCCCCACCCCCGAACCACCCTCTCCGATCCCCAACCCACCATTTCCAACCTCCCTTCTTCCCCCAACACTGGAAACCTTCCCCTCACCCCGTGCACATGGAGGAGAGAGAAAAATGAGGGCGTTGATTGGGTTTTGGGTGGTTTTGGGGGCGGGGGAGGTGATTTCGGGGGGTTGGGGTTACTGTTACAGGTGGTTTCGGGGGTAAGGGGGAAGGGGAAGGGTTCGGGGTCGGGGTCGGGGATATTGGTTATGGGTGGTGGTTTAATTTCGGGGCAGGGGTTTTGGTTATGGGTGGGGAGAGGGAAGGGGGCCGGTTTTGGAGGGTGGGGCTGGGGGTAGGAGGAGGGTGGCCATCACTGGTGGTTGTGGGCAGGTGGCTTGGTTTTGTTTTTTTTTTTCCTATTGATTTTTTTTTACAAATCACGACTTGACACGTGTCAGGTTACCTAAAATATTAGGTCGTTGACTTTTATTGACCGGTTTGAGATTGTTAGAAGAAAACGCACGTGAAAGTTGAAATTGTTATAGTATAAACGAAATTTGGGGTTATCACTTAAAGTAAATTGGGCAAAGTTGGGATTATTAAAATGAACTTTTCCTTCTTTTAAATCTCATTCTTAATTTTTTATTCGTAAAGAATTATATTTCTAAAATATGTAAGTAATGATTGATCTTTAAAAATAGGAAACATTAATTAAAAAAAAAAAAGTGATTAACCATCAAAAAACTACTTAAGTTGTGCTTTAATTTTAATTGATTACTTTTTTTTGTTTATTATAGTGAATTTTACCCTAATGGATTTTTTTTTTTTTTAATTTGAAAATAATTATTATAGTTAAACCCTTTTTTTTTATCAAGTCTTTTTTATTCCATTGGAAAAATTACATTACAAAATATCGCATGCATAGCGTACGTGCACACAAATCTGGTATAATTATAACAAAGTGGGGGTTAATGAGAGGAAAGAACCCCAATTGGTTTTCTTTTGTTGTGTCACATCAATAGCCACATCAAGTTAAAAAAATTTAATACACTTTTGGTAACATTAATCAAGCAAGAAAAAAAAAAACAATATAATGGATTTCATTTGGTAAGTTTATTACATAAATTTTAATGTAAAATATAATTTAATGAATTGAATTCAATTTTAATGACAACCAAGTTTATTATACTTTTAGTGACATACCAATCAAGCAAGAAAAAAAGGGGAAATTATTTTCATTCAATACCAATTGAGCAACAATTTATTTTCAGAAGATTTTAACAGAGCTAGAAGGAAACTTTAATATTATTTTCCTTTTCCTTTGCCAATTGACACATCTCGTTCATTAGACAGGTGTATATTATTTATGGTTTAAAATCTATTTATCTATAACTATGTATATATTAATATTAAATATATATTAAAGGCGAACCAGGAATGACATTATTGACACGTGTCATCTTTTGATCTAAAATTTTCCTGCCTTTTTCTCCTTTCTTAAAAAAAAAAAAAACCATTTTTCTTTCCATTTCAATGATCATATTTAATCCACGTACAACCAACTAGGATATATTTAAATATCTTTTATGTACTATATTAAGTAAAATTTTAAAAAAAAAAAATACTAATAGATATCATTATCTAAGAAGACTGCTAAAATATAAGTATAATATTATTATCCATACAAAAAAATTATAATATTATTATTATTATTTTAAACTTTATTATTTGGACAATAAGGTTAATTTCAATTAAAGAAAATAATTTTAGTAACATTTTTTTTTTTGAAAAGACTTTTGTAACATATACTTGTATATACTTTATTTTTCTTTAATTAAAAGTCATACTAAATATATTGTGTGTCAAAATTTTGTGCAAAAATTTCCCACCAATTTTGTTTTCAACTAAAAATAATAATACAATACTTATCCTTACTAATCAGTAAAAATATATATTTTGCTCGGAATACAATTTTTATCTAAAATAACACTCTTCTACTCAATTCTAAAAAATAAAAAAAAATAAAAAAAAAATCAAGTAAATTTGCGTTAAATGTTGTGCGAGTCAAATTATATTGAAAACTAGAGACAAAGGGTATATAAATGGTACAAAAACTAATCTAAAATTTTTATTTTATTCATATAAAACCTCATTTTGCCTATATTTCTTTAATTTTTCTATGAAGTCTGTTGTATTAATAACCTTAATGTCTTTGGTATGAGTATTGATTAAAATTTTAGTTATTTATTTTAATTAAATAAATTATTTTTGATAAGTTATTATTGAATTAACATTATAATCTGTTATAAAATTCTTTTAAAAAAAATAAAAATATATGTTATAAAATCTTGTAAAAATCGTTCATGGCATAGACTTAATTAAGCTAGTAAAATTACAATAGAATAATACAACCATGTTGCAATTTATAGTAAAAGGACGATCTAAAGGTTTCCATTTGTATTACTAATGATAAATGATAAAAAAAAATTAAAAAAAAAATTTAAAAAAAAAAAAGAAAAAGAAAATTGAAGAAAAGGTAAGCCATCTAATGATCAATAGAGAAGTTGTCCAAAAAATCCACAAAAGTAAAATAGACAAGGAGTGCAAAAAATACACATGCGTTACATATTATGTGCAACTTTTGAATTTGTTATATCTTATATAAATAATACCCTAAAATTGCATATAATATATAAAGGAGGTAGTACAAAATTTTAAAAAGAAAGTAATCGAGATTAAAGTATGAGCTTAAAATGTATGTAAAAAAAAGTGTGAATTGAGACTAGCTCGTACACCAATAATAAAATTTAAGGTTACTAAAATCAAATTCATTAGCTTGTAGCCTTGCATACTAGACAAGAATTTTTCTAATGGAAGGCCGGAAATGAGCGTATCTACAAGCAAAATGTGTGCTAATTTACATTAAATTATCCTACAAGAAAACCTTCTCATAAGTATACAATAACAGCAACAACAGTATCAGAGCCTTATTCCCAATAGAATAGGATACGTCGGCTGCATGAACCAAAGATTTATAATAACAAACGTAAAAGTAGGCCACTCTCATCAATAAAAAAAATGAAATCATTCTCTTTTATATTCTCTCATTCTCTCACTATCTATCACTTTGTATTGGCCTTTAAAATTAAAAAGAAGTACAAGATAAAATTAGCCTCAAACTCATCTTCAAATTCATTATGAGAATGAAATAATGAATTACTTGCAACCAATACCCCCATTCTTACCATTGAAGATAACTTTGGCATTTATACAAGTAGTTGCCAAATTACCAATTGCCCCAAGTGGCTTTTTAAGCTTATGTAACACATCTTTCCCTTCAAAAGAGAGGTTAACATCGGCAACCTCAATACCTTCACAAGGTAATGCTGGACTACATGCAAAAGTCACCAACTCTGTTGTGGCTGAGGTTCCTCTTATGTTCTTGAAGTGCACATCACTAATTTTCACATGAGATGCCTAAAATATATACAAATCATAGATTAATTATGAAGTCTCCAACTTTTAAAAATAAAGTCAACAAATATGTGCTTGTGCTTGTATAGAAAATTAGTGAGCAATTTATAAGAGAGGTTCAGTTCAACTTATTAAGTTGATATCAACTTATTTCATAAATAATCAGATCATATTTTATCGTTTTATTTGTGTTTATTTATCGTTAAATATCTTTAATTTCGTAATCGTAAAAATTAAGAAATTTTCATACTTGAAAAAGATGAAATTTTATCTTACGTGTTATTGTACAAATTAGGTCAAATCTAGAAGTCATATCAGATCAGAAAAATTTAGATCATCATGTGAACTGAACATAGCCTTAATGTATACTATATACCCGTTTGTTATCATTTTTTTGTTTAAAATTTTTTGTTTCTTTGAAACCTTAAAGTAAAAATGTTAAAACCACAAAAAGAAATTTCCAGCCTTTTGTTATCAGATCCGATTTCAAAATTAACATGATTATTATAGGTTTATTTGGTTCATGAGTCTATATAAATTAAATCTTATGACGGGCCAAATCATAAAACCAAAAGCTAAGAACTAACAATGATATTGAATGAGCAGTGTAGTTGTGAGAATTTTCTAAATAAAAGAAAAAACAAAGTATTGGGTGAGTTTGTTTCACCGTAATTCTACCCACCCTAAAGGTTTAAGTACAATATTTTATATGAAATTTTCAAAAACTTATGTGAAATGTCCAAAATCTTTAATTATATCTAAATTTCAAAAATTGAGGTGTTTAAAAACTTATATGAAATGTCTAATAAGTAATAGCTTATATCTGTCATATCGTGAGTTCAGACACACAATACCTTATCAGAAGAAAAAAAATCATGTGTAAATAAAAGCTTCCTTTACCTCAGAGTTTTTCTTGCCATATTGTTGGTCAATGATAATTGGATTCTTTACATGATCCATAATTAAATCTTCATATGTGATTGCAGAAGCTTTATTTGCCTTATTTCCTGGCCAAGTCTTGATTCTTGCACCATTCGTTGTTCCACTTAGAGTGCAATTTTTAACTAGCACCCCTACTACTTCTAACTCGTCATTATACTTTCCAAGGCTTCCCACACTATTATAAATCAAACATGCATTTATATATAAGAATTTAATTAAACATCAATATTTAATTAGCTTTTTATGAAAATTGTTACCCCGTATTATAATTTATAATGTTTTTATACTTAAAATGTACTAATTAAATAATCTTTGATACTATTTTCAACCTCAATGAATCTAATTTTCTCACATAACCAACATTCACCTATAAAATACATAATTAACTTTGAATTTCCAATGTGTCAAATTTAAAGAAATTAAAGGTGGCAAGATGATACAGAAGATTAAACGCTTTTTATAAATTCACATACAAATTTATTTTCATTATTATCACCATAAAACCACTTACCAAAAGGACCGTAGGCCGTAGGGGTATATTGAAGCAGGGCGTTATCAAGATATTTCTTTAATTAATCAATCAACTTAAATAACGTGTAAAGCGCCATCACACAATCATAGACGGACTATTATTAGGTGTATTTGGGAGCTTATTTTCAAAGATGATCTACCTAAATGTCTAGGAGGAAGAAGAAAATCATGGTCTAGGCTAAAATCACAATAACTATTTCAATTTCGAAGTTTTAAATGATTTGTCATATTTTCTAAAATGGTAACAGTCCAGCTTTACTAAAAAAATGTATCAATTCCAAGGATAATGTAGCAGTTAATTGTAACAGGGATTTTTAAGTTTCAAATATTCAATTCAAACACGGCGGAGCTAATATTCTCATAAAAGAAATTCTGTAATTTACCTGATACCATGTCCGGGACCACATGTGACACCCGTGACCGTGATTTGTCTAGATCCATGGCCGATAGAGACACAATCGTCACCGGTGCCAATTAGGCTATCGGCGATAGTAACAAGATCTGAGCTCCCAATATGAATTCCATCAGTGTTAGGGCTATTAAACGGAGCTGCTATTTTCACATTACGAATTGTCACATTGTGGCAGTTGCTAACAAACATATGGAAAAACATGGGATTTACAGATTGAACCCCTTCAATCACACTGTTGTTCACCCTATGGAATTTGATGGACTGCAAAACCCAAATGAATTTTCATCATGTTATGTTACCAAAAATGAGAAAATATGTGTTTATTGGGATCTTTCTATTTAACATAATTGTGGTAAAGTAAATGTATTGAAATATGTAGAAAAGAAAAATAGAGGGAAAATTTTTTTTTTTTTTTTTAAAAAAAAAGGAAAAATTGTCAAGAATAAAACGATCTTTCACCGGTGTTCTTAAAAGTAAAATGACCTTTTGATTATTCCGAAATATAACGACCTTTGACATACATCTTTTTTAAATAAAATAAATAGCCAGTAACCTGGGTTAAACCGGACACGTGTCACATTTTGATTGTTTAGGATTTTTTAATTTAGTTTTTCAATTTTCTTTTGAATTAAAAAAATAAAATAAAATAAACTTAATTTGGGGCTGTTTTTTTTTTAATAATATTACTTTTTTTAAAAAAAATTGTAAAAAAAATAAAATAAATAATAACCAATTACGTAACAACACATGTCACAATTAATAAGCAGGTTATCAACCGGTAACATTCTATTTTGAACAGATGCATATCAAAGGTCGTTTTATTCTTGAATAATCAAAAGGTCGCTTTATTTTTTGAAGACCAGTGCAAGGTGGTTTTATTCTTGACAATTTTTCAAAAAAAAAAAATAAATAAAATAAAAATAAAAAAGTGAAAAACTATTAAAGGTTTTTTATTTGAATGGTATTAAAAAAATTCAGCATAAAATTAAAGCATAACCAACAAAAAAAAAAAAAAAAATAGTAAAGGATTAAATGTTGTAGTTAACCAAACTAGGCTTTAATATTGTACGTGTTATTTCCATATGTCCATAGTAATTGAAACCCATTTCAAACATATGTTTTTCTACGTGAATTTCCATTTCACTCAATACTACTATTAAAGTGATAATAAATGGTAATGAAATTTTAATAAAGACTACATATATATGAAAATGTGCAAGCATTACCATAAACATTTGATGTGAAATTTTCTTTTGAAAAACTTGATCAAAATTCATGATCATTTCCATGATTTACCAAAACCTATCAAACGGATGGTTACCATTAACTTACAGTAGGCAGCGCGGCACAATTGGAGTTCTTAGAGCAATCGTTGCTCTGCCAGTGTTTAGCACCTTGGCCGTCAACGACACCGGTACCGGTTAAGGTCACACCTTCGACATTCTCAAACATGATGACATGAGGCTCAGAGTAGAGACTAATATCAGTGTTAGCCAACACATTACCTTGAATCTCTACTGTAACTTTTGCTTTGCATGGTCCAGCAAATATAACTGGACCTGTCACAAAAATTCCTTTCGGAATTAGTACTCTTGTTGCCCCTGTGCCACCACATGCTGCCTTCCATGCCTGGATAAATGCCTGCATTAACAAGGGTTTAGCTAATTTTACTATTCGAAATAATGATAGTTTCTGAATGTCGGCTTTTTATAATTTATAGTTATTATCATTAAAGATATCGTTGACATTTGACAAGTGTTCATATCAAACAAGCGTTGTAAAAAGAAAAAAAATGAAAATGAAAAAAAAAAAAAAAAAACAGAGAAAGTATGGGTTTAGCTTTTATTGTAACTCCATGTTTAGTTAATTTTTTTCACTGAAATATCTTAATGATATATAGGATTTTTTTTATTTTGATTGCCATTAATGGAATGATTAAGAGTTTTCATGTGGAATAGACATGATATGGGATCAGTGGAACTCAGTAGAGTTGTCAATTCAGGTATTCAAGTTGTAGTTAGGGTTTGAGTCGGGTCAAATCAGGTCTCGAGACAAATCGGGTTCAGGTTATGTCGGGTTAATCTAGTCTCTAGATTAGGTTTAGGTTTGGGTCAGATCAGTTTCGGTTCAAATTATTTCGGGTCGTTCACCCTTTCGGGTGTAGGTCATCGGGTTCGATTTGAGTCAAATTCAGGTCGGCTTCAATTTTATTTTAGGGTTGTGTCGAGTTGGGTTTGGGCAGGTTAATAGCTGGTAAATTTAGGTGGGTTCAGGTTAGGGTTGGGTCAAATAATTATCAGGTCAAATAATCTTATAGTTGGATCATTCTTGGGTTTGGTTCAAGTTCAATTCGAATAAATTTTGGTGTGGTCAAGTTGAACCTATATAATTACGCCTTCCATAATTTGATCAAGCATTATCAAGATTTTATTAATTCTATATGCGGAGTAATAGAGAACAAAGGTAATATAAGCTGAACAAATTGTACCAATATGTTGTTAAGCAAACATATTGGTATATGATCTGAACAAACTGTACAATTCTACAGTTTTATCATTGTAATTTGTAAACAAATTAAACTGAAGATTTATTTTGGCTAAACTTGTTTTGGGTTATTAGGTAATAGTAGGTCGTGTTGATATCTAATTTCATGTTAGTTTTAGGCCCGGTCAATGGTAGTTGGGTTAACAATAATGAGTCAAATAAAGTCTGGTTACGGGTCACCATGGCTCGTGTCAATAACAGGTTGTGTCATGTCGGGTTATAATCATTTTCAAGTTCTAATTGGGTCGGGTACTAGTTCGGGTTTGGATTGTTGTCGGGTCATATTAAATCGGTTGACGATTACTATCAGGTCGGGTACAGGCTCGGGTTCAGGTCATAAAGTATTGGATCAAATCGATTGTCGGTTAACATCAGGTCAAGTTGTACAGGTCACTAGTTTCACCCCATTGTTCGGTTACAACCAGGTTCAGATCATTGCCAACTCAGGTCGGGTTCTCGAGTCGGGTCAGATTTTGACATATCTAAGTGGAAGTAATACATCCTCCGTCTAACTGTAACAGTTTGACTTTAATTTAGCGCTATTCACATATCTTTATTTGACCATTTTTTTTACTAATATATGAAAATAAAAATTGTTTGTATGTACAAAATAATTAAAATTTTATCAGGTTTATCTTAATGTGGGTTTTCTAAATTTATATATTTTATATTGCATTAATAGATAATAATCTATCTATTATATAATACTAAAACATACACTAGGAATGACATGTGTCACTTTCTAGTGCTGTCATTTCCCTCCAAAAAATTATTTTCAATAATAAAATAAAATAAAAATATTCCTACTTCATTTTCTTTCTGTATATATTCTTTTTCATTGACAATATATTATAGACAATAAATGTACTTATAATATCATGTATAAATTTTTAGTATTAATATAAATATTATTTGCTAAAAATGTTATTATAATAATATATTTCAATCAAACGTTTTCATTCAATTTATAGTAGAAATTTCTTAACTTAATTTTCTTACAAAATAACATTAGACATACTAAATACGCAAAAGCTAACGAGCGCCCCCGGATTGTTAGATTAGAGAACCAAATGTGGAAATATTAAAGTAAAATTAACATTAATTACCCCGATCGACGCGTGATTTTGTCATGCATTCCGAACTTAATACTATTTTAACTAATATATTAAATAGTTATCTAACGCCTAGGGGCGCTTGTTAGCAAGATCCAAATAAATATTAATGAATTGAATTTACTATAAAAAGAATAAACTAAAATAAAATTGGGTAATGCTATATGCAGCCCATAAGCATTTAATATACTTCTTTTTACTATTAAATTGGGAATTTATCGACAATTCACGAGTAAATCGATGTAACAAATGTTTATTTACTAGCATAGTGCCCGTGCAATGCACGGTTAATAAATCAAACTATTCATTCCATATGAGGAAAAAAAAAAGATACTCCAATTAGTAATAAGTTGTGGAAAAAGATATACTTGTACAAATATTTTTGAAATTAAATAAACAATAATAACACATTCATAAATATATAAATTATGAAAAATATTTATCATTTTGGAAATATAATCAATTATCCGGAATCAATCAAAGTAAACAAAATACATTTTAAAATCAATGTAATTTATATGATATATTGATTACACATGGAATAATATAGATATAAATAACAATTTATACAATAAAAGATATGGAAAATGTGTGAATTACAAATAAATATTTTTTTAGGAAAGTGAATCACAAGTATATGATTTGATGAATATATATAAAGAATAATTTAAAATAAATAGTTAAAATAAAAAAGAAAAAAAAACGATTTTGGAGGGAAAAAACAGCACCCGAAACCTGATGTCTATTTTAGTATTATGTTATTGATGATTGCCTATTCTTTTCACTTTTAGCTTCTTATATACAACCCTTTGCATAATTAACAAAATGGAGAAGTATTAATAATATTGATAGGTATCTTCCAAAAAAATTTATATTGTTAAGTTAATAGTAAATTGAGTTTTTAGTTTAGACTAGTTAAAGATAATAATAGTCATAATTATGTATTGGGAAACGTGCATTCAGTCAAAGTATGATAAGTAATTTGACATGTAGAGAATATATTAGAAGAACAATTTCGTTTTGATGTTTGGATCCAATTCTATTTAGGGTAGCTTGATTTTTTATTTTATTTTTCAAATCAGAAGAGAGATAGATGATTAGTCATTTATGATTAGTTTATGATAGACATCATATAGTATTAAAAAAAAAAACTTGTAATAATATCATGAGATATGCATCATTCATTATATGTGGCTATTGGTCAACAATTATACCCTAAATTCCATATAAAATTAGCATCCAATAAAATAAAAAAACATATACGACCATTTTGGGTAGTCTTAAGAGGTAGTAATTTTTTGCATTTTTTTAAAGAAATTTTGACAATAATGAAAATGAATTTATGTGCAAATGCTATCCTATGACAATGCTCATTAAAATTTAAGAAGAAAATCAAATGTTTGGAATGAGTTGCATCATCATGAATATTAGCATGATTAAGGTTCGTTGAAAAATTACTATAAATTCATCTTTAATATTGTCATTTATTATCACCCGCCAAACGGACTAGTAGGACTATTGTTCCTAACGGTTCCACGTAAAATACAATACCAAAAGCGATGAAAACTTTACCAAAGAATTGGCAGATTCTCCTTCATCGTCGGTATCATCAGCAGCACCAACTGTAGCACCATGTTTGGTGATATCAAAAACTACTCCAGACAGTGTAGTTGGAGGACCAATTCCAAGGCCACCCTTTAATTTAGGTTTGCCTTCAACGTTGTATATCGACGAAGTTAGGCATAATAGAAGAAATAATATCGTCATGGGTGACCTTGCAACAATTATTCCGAGGGTTTAAAACACTAATAAAAGACCAAAATATTGAAAAACGAAACAATATAGTTTAGAGAATATAGGAGGTTGCTAGATTTTGTTATAATGATCATATTTTCCACTAAAATTAGCACAAATATCGTAATCTATAATTAGTGTTATCTATTCCTGCATTTAATTGTAACCATCATTAATTTAGCATTTTTGTATTGATTTTTCTCTTGGAGAAGGAAAGGAGCTAATCATGTTGTGGTCTATGTGCATTTTTGTGAGGGAACCCATATGTTAAGATATTTTTAAACATTATGACATGCAAATTAAGTTATTTTTTTGTTTGGTATAATAATCAATGGAATCATATTATTTTCCTTCTTTCTATTATTAATATCGATTTAAAGTTTTTGGTGTTGTGTTGCGACCAATTACTAATTTCAATAGATATAGAAATTAAATTAGAATAAAATCTATTGTGTAGAATCTTGTATGTATTTATTTATTTATTTTTTCTGAGAAAGAACTTGTATGTATTCTTGTAAACAAATTATAAGGTGAAGTTTTGGCAAACAATTACAAATTCACTTTTAATGAAAGCCAATACTATATTATTGTTGAAAAAAAAAATTCACTTCTTCATAAAAAAGGTCAATATGAACCATAAATTTATCCAAATCATATCATATCACTAATAAATAAAGCCGTTCTAATAAATAAAGTTGGTCTCGCAGCCAGGCCCCGAGATAGCGACACTTGGCATTCCAGTTTTTTGCCAAGTGTCGCGCCACGTAGGAGATAATATAGGTACTATTGTGACACATATGATGCTAAGTAAGCGCTTTTTGGATAGATATTTTAAAATAAAATTGTTGCATAGAGTTTTATTATCGATAAAATTCTAATATTTCATATATACAAAATTAATTATAACTTATAATAAATATTATAACTCAATTCTATTTCCATCATAAAATTCGTTTTAAAAAGTTCTTTAAAATAAGATCCATTTATAATATATTTAATCACAAACTTTTATACATAGTTGGCCAAACCGTGTCACCAACTATTACAAGATCAGAGTTACTTCGTTAGTGCTATAGGGGTTACTTGGTCAGTGTTATAGTGGTTACTCAATCAATGTTATACATAGGGGTTACTTAATCAGTGTTAGAGGTTACCAAATAGTATTACAAGGGTTACTCGATCAGTTTTATAGGGGTTACTTTGTCCGGCCAGATGGTGTGGTTAGCCGCATACAAAATACATTGTTATTTAATTTATTTTAAAAAAATATTAGAGAATCAGTAAAATAAGTTTTAATCAGTAAAAATAATTTTAGTTTGGTAAAAATACTTTCACTTCAGTGAAAATAATTGAAGTTCAATAAAAATAATTTCAAGTCAATAATAACATAGATATCTATTTACAAACAAAACTATACAAAATACACTCCATATGATATCGTATGTCCAAATATTCTACATTACCATAATGAATTATTTGACCGAATTTAACATTTAAGTAAAAATGTTATCTTAAAATTTTATCAACCATCTAGACATCGTCCGGACACAAAACTAGTTGAATAATAAAGAGGTGGAGGGAAAGTACGTTGGATTGGATGTTATAGTTTTGTGTTTTAATGAAATTTGATCTATACATGAAAGTAATAAAAACAAACCATGCATCAATAGCCATGTATGATATGATTTCTATCTCTTTTATTTATATCTTATTACCTTCTTCCATTGATTAAGGGAAACTTAGGCAACATTTATTAATGGCTTTAAAATCGTTCATCTTTCAACGTCTCACATTAAATTTTAGTGAATTTTAAACATTTTTTTTGAAACAATTAAACATTACTTCATATAATAAGTTAATAACTAGTTTTGTGCCCGGTCAATGCTCGAATTGTTGATAAAATTTTAGGAGAAACTTTTTGTCTTGAATATTTATTAATACGGTCATGTAATCTCTTTTAATAATGCAGGATATTTAGACATAAGATATCCTATCGCTTATTTATAGAATAGTGTACTTTTCGTAACTTTGTTTGTAAATATATATCTATGTTATTATTGACTTGAAATTATTGTTATTGAACTTAAATTATTTTTACTGAACTAAAAGTATTTTTACCAAACCAAAATTTTTTTTACTGGTTAAAACTTATTTTTGTTGATTCTCTATTTTTTTTTTACTAAATTAAATATATTATAAATGGACCTTATTTTAAAGAACTTTTTGAAACGAATTTTATGATGGAAATAAATCGAGTTATATGATATTTATTAAAAGTTATGATTAATTTTGTATATATGAAATATTAGAAGTATAGTGATAATAAAACTCTATACAACATTTTTATCTTAAAAAATCTATCCAAAAATCGCTTACTTAGCATCATATGTGTCACAATAATACCTATTGTCGCCTACGTGGCGCGACACTTGGCGAAAAATTGGAATGCCAAGTGTCGCTGTCTCATGGCCTGGCTGCAAGACGGGCTTTATTTATTAGTGATATGATATTATATTAGTTTTAGTGTTATTGTTGAAATTTAAACCAAGCTAGGTTAATTATTAGTTTTATAATTCTAATTCGAATCTAATTATTTCCTGCTTATTTTTAGGAAGTGAAACCATAGATAGGCTGGCATTTTATTAGTCTTTTGAGTTTTTTTCACCCTCGACACTACTAAAAATCGGTTAAAACGGTCGCAAAATATGAAATATGTGACTGTCTTGAAGGCAATCGCAAAATTGCGACCGTTTTTTAAAGCAGTCGCAGATTTGCGACCGTTTTTTCCCTTTTAAACCGTCACAAGGTTATTTGAACAATTTTAAAATAATTCTAAATTAAAAAAAAAACTTTTGCGACCGCCAAAAACGGTCGTAAATTGCGACCGTTTAAGAAACGGTCGCAATTTGCAACCGTTGAGCCTTTTTTTTAAAAAAAAAACAAATCGGGTATAAAAGGGTCCCCAATTCATCCTAACCCTAATTTTCTCTTAAACCTCACGCCGCTCTCTCCTCTTTCTCATGGCCTCTCTCTCTTCTCTTTCCTCGCTTCTCTTTCTTCTCTTTCCTCTACCTCTACCTCCTCTCTTCTCTTTCTTCTCTCTCCTCTTCCACTATACCGACGTTCGCAACTCTTTCCTCCGCCACCATCTTCACGGCCTCTCCTCCTCCTCCCTCTGTTCTCTTTTTCTTCTTCATTCTTTCTTTTTTCTTGTTCGGATTATGGTTTTTATGGTCAAATTCGACCATAAAAATTCTAGACCTGGAGTTTTCATAGTCGAATTTGACCATATAAACCCAAAGAGGAAGAAATATTGGGAAAGGTATTTTGATTTTTGATTTGTGGGTTTAATTCGTTTTTTGTTCAATTTTTTGGTCGAATTTATGCGGGTTTAGTTTTTTTTCGATTTTATTTATGTGGGTTTTATTTCGTTCGATTTTATTTATATGGGTTTAAATTTTCGTTCGAATTCATATATGTGGGTATAATTTTTGTTCGATTTTATTTATGTGGGTTTAATTTTTTGTTTGTTGTTGTTCTTTTTTCAATTTACATGGGGTTTTTTTTCTTTTTTTGTTCGATTTTTTGGTCGAATTTTGTGGGTTGAATTTTTATCGATTTATTTGTTCGAATTTTTTTTTCATTTTGGGTTTTGTGCTATTTCATTAATTATCAGTTTGATTTTTGTAAATTTTAGATTTGATTTTCATTTTGAATTTGGGTTTGATTTTTGGTAATTTTTTAATTTCGTTTGTTTGATTTTGTGGTTTGTTTTTGCTTTGTAATTTTAGTTTAATTTCTGCTAGGTTTTGATGTTGGTTGTTTTTGGGTTGATTGGATTTGTAGTTTGATTTAGGGTTTTTTTTTTTCTTTTTTTTTTTTTTTTTTTTTGGTTTGATTTGATTTCTGGATTTTGGTTGATATTTGGTTTCGCTTGTTTCCGTCATTTTTTTTTAAAGATTTTTTTTTATTTTTTAAAAACTTTTAGCGACTGTCTTTAGCCGTCGCAAATGAACAAAATTTGCGACCGCTAGTATACCGGTCGCAATTAATAAAATTTGTAATCGTTTTAGTAACGGTCATTGAAAATTAAGAAAACGGACGCAAATTTATTGCGACTGATATGAATTTTTGCGACCAAGTGAATAACGATTAGCATGTTACGACCATTGACGGTCGCAATTATTTTTAGCGACTGTTTTTGCTATTTTCAACGACCGTTTGTGACGGTCACAAAACCTTAATTTTTAGTTGTGTTAAGCAATCAACAACGTATGTTCACAGCTAGCTAGAATTGTTTTCTAGGTCGACTCGAGTCATATCATTACTGTATTTATTATGTGAATTGATTTGTAATTAAACTTGTGATTTATGGTGTAGAGCACAATATGACTCATGAGAAGTCAAGATTTATTATTTATATATGCAAAACTTGATAATTTTTGTGTTATGTTGCTCATTGAGTATATGCAAGTGATCTGATTAAGTCAATTTGTACCTTTAATCAACATGTTTGACCAATCTAAGTTTATGGCGTTCATTATGATTCCCAAATGTTGGTTACATAAAATGTTATTTCCTTTATCTCCATCTCTACTCTCTCAAGGTGATAATTCGATAGGGCCATATTCTCCTTATTTAAAATAAAAAAATAAAAAAAAGAATCTGAATGGCTCTTATGACTTACATGTACGACATAAAAGAGCATTTTTTTTTTTAAATCAAATTATTACGAAGAATATAATGCTACTATGAAGAATAATGTTACTAGCATTGACTGAAGCTTTGAATGATTGTAATTGAGTAATGAAACTGATTGGGCATTGGAATGAGTTTGGAAATGTTTATGAAGAGATTGATTTGAAGGCTTTAGGTTTGAAGGTTGTCAAACCATGTAAAATGATTGGCGAAGGACCCATATTTACAAGATTGAATTGAAATAAATTATTCATATAAAATAAAAATAATTAATAGTGAAAATCTACTCATCAATCAAACCATTTAGAAATTATCTAGAGTAATAATCATTTCACCCATCACCATCACTTTAAAATGAAATTAGAAACAACTTATCTTTTTCATTATTCACAATACCACATGGTGGACATAGTTTGAGAAATACTTGTATACTTCGTTTTTTTTTTTAATTATTAAAATAACCCCCTTCCCCTTCATGTGACTATTCATCTTAGAAAAAAGTAACATAGAATTAATGGTTTGATCGAAGATGTTTTAGTGCTCAGAATTGATCATTTCATCAAAGTTGTGACTTTAAATAGGAATAAAATGAAAAGAGTTAAACTAGTGGTTTTGAGATCCTGCATAGTCTACTGGAGCTTAGTTAGATTTGATGTTTTGAAACTTTGGTTTGATGATAAATGTGGATGTCAATTTATTGTTTAATCTAAAGAAAAGAAATTATCTCAAATTTGGAAAAATCACAATCACAAAGAATAATATAGTGGTCTCGTGAAGGGAAATAGAGTTAACTTAAAAATAAAAAAAAATATAGAAATTGGAATTTGGTAGAATCTCCGGCAACAGAAAATATTCATGTCATTTACAGCATCCAACCCCTAAAATTCATGATGTTCATTGCTCCATTTAAAATTTGTGCGATTAAGTGCACCCAAGCAATGGTTTATGTTATTATAGAAAATAAATGTGTCTCTTCATCTTAAAATAATAACATTCAATAAAAATAATTTTGGGTCAGTAAAAATAATTTTAGTTTAGTAAAAATAATTTCATCAGTTCAGTAAAAATAAGTTTAATTCAGTAAAAATCAGTAACAGTAAAGAAGAACTACAATAGAGATCCACTAAAGATAATTTCAGTTCAGTTAAATAATTTTAGTTCAATAAAATTAACTTAGTTTAGTAAAAATAATTTAAGTTCATCAAAAATAATTTCAATTAATCAACAAAAATAAGGTGAAGTAAAATACGATGAAGTGAACAGGACCTTGTTTACCATTGGTAAAATAGTTGTTGTTTCATTAGAGAAATTACCATTAGATGAGTATATAATTTCATCTATTTTATCTTAATCTGCTACTCATGATTTAATGATAACTTAATAACTCATAATATTTGTAAAATATTAAAATTTCATCATCGTTCCCGAAAATCGTTAGTAGTTTGGGATACTCCAAAATACTATATACATTAAACTAATAGTAACTAGATTAGTGTCCGTGCCATGCACGGTAGTAATAATCTTTTTTCCATAATTAATTGTGATATAATATAAAAATGAGGCAAATAATGTGGAATAAACAAATGCAATGCATATAGAAAAATAAAATAATAAAGCAAAAATTATAAAAACTACAATTGAGAAAAAAATATATTTTTTTGATTAGTTGTGTTGAAAATATTTTAAAGTAGTATACATTATATTACATTAATGATGAATATTATTCCCAATAAAGCTATACATTATAGTGACTATATGACTAAAAACTTATTTATAAAATGTCTTTTAATAAACATGAAAATATTAATCAAACAATGGAAATATTTTAGGTAAATGTGTATGAAAGACTATAATTAAGAACACGAAATAAAAAGAAATACATTTAATGTAAAGATAATATATAAGATTTGGAATAATATTATTATAGTTGTATTATACAAATATTTCAAAAATAAAAGATTATTTGCTAAAGGAGAGGAGAGTTTTGAAGGGAAAAAACAGCACCAGGAAATGACACGTGCCATTCCTGGTATCTATTTTAGTATTATGTTAATGAATGTTAAAAAAAAAAATGAGAGCATTCCCTCCAACTGGTTTTGATGTTCATAATTTAATCGTGCATGTATCAGTGAACATTGTTAAAATCTCTAATTGCACATAACCAAAAACTACAAAAATAGTAATTATTCTTAAAAACCCTCCATTTAATCATTAACAAGTATATCGATGAAATGATTTTGGGTAAATTCAAGTTTCTCTCTGAAATAAATCTATGAATATATCTCTTCTCAAACCTAATTATTTTCTTTTATTTTTAAAATGATAAAAATAAAAAAATAAAGTGGTACAGAAATCAATACATAAAATTATAAGAGGAGATAAATTGGAATTGTTAATCTCATTAACTTAGGCTCCCTCAAACAATTATAAGCATTCTAAAATTACTCTTATTGTTCCAACAACATAAGTCTGTAACCAACTAAATTAATTGTCATCCGAATTGATCCACAATTAGCCAGTCATAATCGCACCCGGAAATTTAAACACGCAGACGACAGTTAGCAAGTAAAGAGCTGATGGTATTTTCCCAAAGTTATCCTTTATTGTACCACTTGTTCCTCTCTTATTCCGCCATCTTTTACTTTCTTTATTTTCTCTCTCCTCCTTATTCTCCCCTTTATTTATCCTCTCTAATTCGGATCATTATTACCATTACAATAATATTTTTCATCTCTTTCAAAAACAGTTTTTTCCAGATTCTGCTAAATTCAGTCAGATCAAATTCAAATGGCGCCTAAGCTAACCAAAATTCCTAGCATGCGTGAGAGAGTTCAAGATACTCTCTCTGTTCATCGTAACGAACTTGTTTCTCTTCTCTCAAGGTTCGATTTTTTTTAAACGGTTTTGATATATGCACCTTTTATTCAATCTATAAGCATTTAATATACCCGTGTTTTTAAAAATGGTACATATTTGTAAAAGAACGGGTGACAAAATCACGTCTCAGTCGATATTATTATACTTTGTATGTTTAGTTGATCGTACTAATAATGATTGATGTATTAAATTTTAGATTCTTATGGAATATATTTGTACTAAGTATATATATTGATTTATTTAATTTTTTTTCGTTGCTATTGATTTTGGGTGGTGAATGATTGAATAATATAGGTATGTGGCACAAGGAAAATGTTTGTTACAACCCCATCATTTGATTGATGCAATGGAACAAATAATTGGTGAAGATAAAGGAAAGCAAATTCTTAGAGATGGTCCTTTTAGCGAAGTTCTTAGGTCTGCCCAGGTGATTTTTCTTCATTTGTTTGAATCTTTTTCGATTCGATTTTGATTGTACTCTGTTTTCGTTTTGGTATAAATATGTTCTGTAATCACCCATTTGGTCGTTCTTGTATACTCCCTCCGTCCCAAATTAATCGACATGTCAGTATGTCCACTTGTCACCCACTCGTCCTACCTCATTATAAGGAATTCACAATGTTTGTAGTGATTCGTAATTTTGTATGATAGTTTTACACGGATCCTATCCATTTTAGTGGCGGTGTATTTGGAAATTTAACCATAATTTTTTGTTCTTGAATGTTCGAGTGAATGTGACAATTTTGTCAGGACATCCTGAGTATGACGATTATTTGTGGACGGTAGGAGTACTTAACTACGTATATCGCTTATTGAAAATAGTTGTGGCAAATGATGATTCTGGATCCTTAGTACTTGAAGTAAGACATTTAATAAGAGACAAACTTGGGTTTTGTATGATAGTGTGTCACCACCGCTTTAAGATGAACTTTTTTTACAGTAATAATTGAAGGGACCGATAGAATGTCCTCAAATTATTTACGTGTCTTTGGGCGCATGATTAGGGATTTTGTCGATATTGTTACGGAATAACGGAGAACATTATGCAAAATCAGTAGTCAAAAGCCCAAAGCTGCCTGATATGGTACGATCTAGCCCTTGTTGTCACACTTATCCTATTAAAAAGGTGGGGGACATCAAACTTATGTGTTGAATGAGACGACGTAAGTACCTTTATCGGTTTATCTCTTGGAATGTTTTGGTTCTACTTGCCAAGGGGTCCAAATTGATGTGGATATTGTTGCTTGTTTTAACAAAATACGGAGTAGTTGAAACTCAATAGTCATTGGCAAATTTGAGTAATGTTTGCTTGTAATCGATCATAGTGATGCAAATCTTTCTATTTGGGGTATTTGGAATTTCTAACCTTTTGTTTGACTTGAGCACTTTACAGTTTTTGGGAATGAACTTTGGCCACTGATTTTTCTGGTTATGTGGTAGTAGTGGCACAGACTTTATCAAAGAGGCAAAGATACTTTGACAAACTGCTTTTAAGATCATGTGTAACAATTGTATCACTAATTTGTAATTGCAGTAATTTTTAACAAATTATCGGTAAAATTTATTAAAAGATGACCATGAAAGTCAAACAAGAAGTTTATTTTGTGACAGATGAAGTATTAACTAGACCTCCAAAATGGCAAATTGATTTGTACAATGCGCTTATTCAGTCTATTTAACTATTCTATTTGTTATATTTATCCAAAACACTACTTTCCAAACAGATGTTAACAACTGCATAGATTATAAACAAGGAAATGTCCTCTTTAATACTTTAGCTATTTGCTTATGGCTGTGTGATGTTTGGTTTTTAGGATGCTTTTGTTGTATTTTGGATTTATTGTTTTCTCAAACTATGGATGTTAATGATTGGAGGTGGTGATTTGGAGGTTGAAGAGACGTTAATTGAATACTCCAATATATATTTATGTGAAGCCTATAACAATTGTTATATTTAACCGCGAACAAGGGAAGGTTTCTTTTTGATCCACAATTAGTGTAATGATGACTCGTGGAACTTTTGACAGTGATCTCTGATTATTTAGCCTATTATATTTGGTCAATCTTTAATGTGTTTGACTTTGTTTTATGGTAGGAAGCAATAGTTGTTCCTCCCTTTGTTGCTATAGCACTCCGTCCAAGACCTGGAGTTTGGGAATATGTTCGTGTTAATGTCTATGAACTTAACGTGGAGCAGTTAACTGTATCTGAGTATCTCCATTTCAAGGAAGAACTTGAGGATAGAAAGTGAGTATAAGATCTTAAAATTTGATGAATCTGATAGCAAAATTCATGTCCTGATATTCATATACGTTTAATGTGTGATAGGGCTGATGACCACTATACGCTTGAGCTTGATTTTGAGCCTTTCAATGAGTCGGTTCCACGTCCAACACGTTCTTCATCAATTGGTAATGGTGTTCAGTTCCTCAACAGACACCTATCATCCATTATGTTTCGCAATAAAGACTGCTTGGAGCCGTTACTTAATTTCCTTCGAGTTCACAAACACAAAGGAGTTGTAAGTTACACTGTTACTGTCCACTACTTTGAGAATGTTAATGTTTACAACATGAATATTACTCCCTCTATCCGGAAATACTAGTCAGAATATATATATCTGGAAAATTAAACAGATATTCTTAAATAATAATGGTTTGTGGATGATTTTTCCGAAATACTTTACTGATTAAGTAGCGGGGATGTGCCAATAATCCTACTATTAAGAAATAATTCATCTAGTATAATTATGTCATACCCCTAATTATGAAGGGTCAGAGTAAAGTGACCATTAGTTCCGGATGAAGGGAATAATAATACCAGCCGCTGCTTGTATGATTGGCTTGGTCTTGGGATGCTGTAGGTAACTTGCAAGTGATTGTGCAGGTCATGATGTTAAATGATCGGATACAAACTATTTCTCGTCTTCAGTCTGCATTGTCTAAAGCTGAGGATCATCTAACCAAGCTTCCACCAGATACACCTTACTCTGAGTTTGAATTTGAGTATGAAATATTTTGTTGCATGCAGAGGCCTTCTAATTAGCATGTCTTCTTTTATACTTTTGTCTTTAACTGAGTTCAACTCTTCCCACAAATAAAGAGTTGGTTGCTTGATTTGAGATTTGAGTTTATAATTCCACTGTTACCATGTGCATGCAGACTCCAAGGTATGGGATTTGAGAGAGGTTGGGGAGACACTGCAGAAAGAGTTTTAGAGATGATGCATTTACTACTAGACATCCTTCAGGCTCCTGATCCCTCCACATTAGAGACATTTCTTGGAAGAGTTCCCATGGTGTTCAATGTGGTTATTCTGTCTGTACATGGATACTTTGGCCAGGCACATGTACTGGGCTTGCCTGACACTGGTGGGCAGGTATGAGGCTAATTTTCTTGCTTTATGATGGGAGATTTATATTTTATGCACATTCGTTTCCTGGTCCAAGGTTTGCCCTTAAAGTTTGAACTGATAGGTATTGTTCAGAGGTTGGGAGTTTCAGAACACTATGTCCTCTTGATTAGATAGACTCTGTAAGAATGTATATGAACTACAAAGGCTCAGAGGTGCACTGACTCACTGAGGTGTTACCGTGATAGAGATCCTTGCGCGGCTCGTAGCGCTTCGGTGCACCTCATGAAGTGAGTCACACTTTATGGGTGAAAAAAAAACTGGCTAGGTGTTCCTTGGCTGCACCTTTTTTAATTCAACTCGCCTAGGCAAATGCGTTTGACCTCTATCGCCTTGCACCTCAGCAAGTCGCGCCTTTTTTAATTTTTGATACACTGCTTTGTAATATGTGCAAATGTGCTAACCTGTCTGTTATTTTCCTCGAGTTATAGATTGTTTATATTCTTGATCAAGTGCGAGCATTGGAACATGAAATGCTCCAACGAATAAAGAAGCAAGGACTGGATGTGACTCCAAGAATTCTTATTGTAAGACTAGTTCTCTAATCCTAGAGCTTGGGCTTATACTTTATGTGTGTGTGTGGGAGGGGGGGGGGGTCAACAAAGTGGTGGCTGTAGTTAATAAAATTGATGTTCATCTATTTCTAGGTGACTCGGTTGATTCCTGATGCTAAAGGGACCACATGCAACCAGCGTTTGGAAAAAGTCAGTGGAACGGAGTACGCCAGTATCTTGAGGGTTCCTTTCAGATCAGATAAAGGAATCCTTCATAAATGGATATCTAGATTTGATGTCTGGCCTTATCTAGAAAATTTTACTGAGGTAAATCCTTACTGTCAGTAAAATGACTTATAAATCTGCATATGATGTCTCATTCATGTTTGGGAGATCTGCCTGCTGCGTAAAAGTTTAAATCAGGTGTATGTGTGCTACATTCCATGTTAATGTTTAAATTTCTTATTTTTGATCTAAACCTAGTGAAGAATAATAATTTTGCCCCCCTCCTGTTGTGTCTATCTATGTTGGATGGCCTCTACTTCTCACAAGACTGGCTTCTCTTAACTTGCCTGCATTACGTAGAGAATATAAAGGAATTGATGGTTGGGGTTGTATAATCCTGTCTGTGTTAGATATGATATAATGGCATCCTATTGATTATTGAAATTAAACGTAGATGAACAAATAAGATATGCAATATGTGGTTACTGTTTCACGAATATCATTGCAATGAATTAGATTGGGATACATCATTGTGGCAGAATGACATGCTCACTTACCTAACTTTTTGCCTCCTGGCTACTTAATGTGTAAATATTTTTCTTGCCAAGTCTTCAATGGGTTGGATGTGGTGGGGGTTGGAGTTTGGAAGATGGTATATGTGCTCCATCAGAAAACTTAGGTTTGTAAGGTGTTTCCTTTGCTAGAATTTAGGTTGCATGAAATATGTGTGCAAATTTATTATACCTTTAAAATAAGGAAATCTCTCAACATTATAGGAAATGAAGCTTTAATTTTTGTTTGAACAATTGATTTTGCCTCTCCAAACCTTTGCAAATGTCTAGTTTTACTTTGTTAGAATGATAGTGCAGTTCTGATTCCTGACATTCCACAAAGTACTGATTTAGTGAATGCATGGTTTTGATTCATTGTCAATGTTAAATGCACTTAGGTGCAGCTATATTTGTTTAACTTTGTGTGTTGCTGCCTTGTTGTGTATCCGTAGTCTTTTTTGTTTAAAGTACTCACTGATTATGTGTGTCGATTTAAGTGACTAGTCAAACTGTCAAATGCCAAAGTTATTACAGTTGAACTTAATTTTTAATGTCGTGTTGGAGTTGCAGTAATGTTGGGACATACATTATTCTGCCAATTACTATGCTATTCATTTTTTGCACCATATGCCAGTAGACACTTTTGAATGGCATAAGCCCATCAAAATATGACTTAATAGTTTCAGACTGTGGTAGTCTCTCAGATGATCCCCAGCATGTCTTGATGCTAACCTCATATATTTCCGTTAATGAACCTTTGGAAATTGTAAATAATATCCACACTCTATACAGCTCTGAGGAAGTCCCTTGTGATACATTATATAAACCAATTCTGGGCTTCAACTATCAGCTTAAGCTTTTGGTTGAGATGATCCTCTAACACCTTTGACTCCCTTCACCATACCAGATGTAACTTATGCTAGCCTTCCACTGGTTCATTTGTCCATTTATAACATATCTATTTAGTGATTCAAATTTCTCCATGAAATTCTATATGCTAGCCTTCCATTGGTCCGTTGATATGTGGTTCTACACTTCTACATGATGAATCCTTGATCTCCATTGTGGTGTGATGAGATGTAGTTTAAGGTTTTCAAAATTCCCATAGCTCTGTCCAGTCTATAGCTGTAATGTTTGAAAGGAACCAAAGAATTTTCATTAATGGAATTATCCAACTTAAATATTATAGACAAGAATATGAACATGGCCCATTTCTTTTGTCAGGGTATACCTGCCAAATTAGAGTATTTTGTGTGTGTGTGTGTGTGTGTGTGTGTGTGCGCGCGCGCGCACATGCTTATTGCTGTTGAGTTCATATGCTATTCACAAACATATATAAGCTATGAGTTATGTGTTTTCAGGATGCAGCTGGAGAAATTATTGGCGAGTTACAGGGTCGTCCAGATTTGATAATTGGAAACTACAGTGATGGGAATATTGTTGCTTCTTTATTGTCCTACAAGATGGGTGTCACCCAGGTCTAGCCTTATATTTTAGTTTTTGCTTTATTTTTTAGGAATTTTTTTTTTCTTCATTTCCTCTTCATATTCATCTCTCTATTTTATGTATTTTCAGTGTAATATAGCCCATGCATTGGAGAAGACCAAATATCCAGATTCTGATATTTATTGGAAAAATTTTGAAGAGAAATACCATTTCTCTTGCCAGTTCACAGCTGACTTAATGGCAATGAATCATGCTGATTTTATCATTACAAGCACGTACCAAGAGATAGCTGGAACGTAAGTACAAAACTGTCACTTTTTAACAGTCCCATGCAATAACATCAGATCATTGACTTGTTTGATTACTGTGAAATATAAATCAAAAACATTCATAACTTGTACCCGATCATGTGGTCATTTGTATTTGAGTGTAGTAAATGCATCTTATGTGTGGTTTAGTGGAAAAATGTTCGAACTTTACATCAAGCCTGATCAACTATTGTCTGTTGATTAAACTGAATTCAAGAGGCTAGTCTTACCTTGTGGCAACTTTCTTGCACTACTGTGTTCTGACATCTATTATAAGTATTATATGTTAATAAGGCTGTAGTGTGGTGAAATCTTATAAGCTGTTTGTTGTCTCAGAGAGAGTTTTGAGTAAATTCTTCTCTCTAAAATTTGATATATCAACCTCTGAGTGACTCTGAATTCTTAAATAAATGAATCACATTCTTATTTTAGGATGCACCAGAGAAATCTTTAGATTATTATTTCCTGTCATTCAGCTAGTCACCCTACCATAAAGGAGTTTTTGTTGCAGTTATGCCGACTTGCTGAGATCTTAGGTACATTAGGTTGCAAATTCTAATGCCCTTTTGTCCTCTATTAAAATAAATTTATTGATCAAGTTTTTCCGGTAAAAAAAGACTTGAGATGTTTTTTTAACTTGTTGATATTACTGTTTTGTATGTTTATTTCTATTTAAGAGTTGAAGAATGAAGATTACTAGTACAGATCTATTTATAGACTAAATCCTGTTGCAGGTTCTAAATGTGCTTCCAACTTTTACCTGTACTCTTAAGTTTACTTAATGAATAATTACCTAAATAACAACTTTTTTTTTGCAGGAAAAATACTGTCGGCCAATATGAGAGCCACAAGGCCTTCACTTTGCCTGGGTTGTATCGGGTGGTTCATGGGATTGATGTCTTTGACCCCAAGTTTAATATTGTCTCACCAGGGGCCGACATGACTATCTATTTCCCATTCTCAGAGAAGGAGAACCGGCTAACTGCACTTCATAGCTTCATAGAGGATCTCTTATTTAATCCTGAACAGAACGATGAACATATGTAAGCTCCTGCTCTTTTTTATTTACATCGATCACATGAAACCCATATCATGCAACTAGCATTTGAAATGTTTATGGACGTTGTTCATCTCTTGGCAAATAAGGGACAGATTTTTTTTCTTTTTCTTTTTTTTTCTCTTGTTATAGTACTGCAATACGACAATTTAACATTTGCTATGTCTAGTTTGTTGAACTGAATTTGTTGCCTCAGAGAGAAATGTATTTGGACCTGTGGTTATAGTAAAAGTAAACCATAAGGAAAATCTAAAATTATAATAATAGACTTAATGGCAGCTTTATGTCTTTCAGCTTGACATGCAAATTGTGTGTATTGCTTATCTACCATTTTTCATCATTGCAGTGGTATTCTTGATGATACCTCAAAGCCTATGATATTTTCCATGGCGAGGCTAGACCGTGTGAAGAACATAACAGGACTGGTAGAGTGCTACGCAAAGAATGCTAAACTCAGGGAACTTGCAAACTTGGTTGTGGTTGCTGGCTACAATGATGTAAAAAAGTCGAATGACAGGGAAGAGATTGCTGAAATTGAAAAAATGCACAATCTTATCAAGGAGTACAAATTGAATGGCCAGTTCCGTTGGATAGCTTCTCAAACTAATAGAGTAAGAAATGGTGAACTTTATCGCTACATCTGTGACAAAGGAGGTATTTTTGTGCAGGTATGCTCTACATTTTATCTGTGTTGCTTTTTTTTTTTTCCTATATTCTGTCAAATAAAGTAAAGCATGTGTTCATATGACACGCCGATATAATCTATATGTTGGTTATATAGGCAAGATGAAGTACTAGATTACAAAAATTGGAACTCCCATTAAAATTACTTTGACAAACTTCACCAATCAAAGTCATAACATAAATTCTTGTCACCAAAACTCATAGAATGCTTTATTTATGACTTGCAGCCTGCATTTTATGAAGCATTTGGGCTTACAGTTGTTGAAGCAATGACTTGTGGTCTACCAACATTTGCTACATGCCATGGTGGTCCTTCTGAGATTATAGAAGATGGTGTATCAGGGTTTCATATTGATCCATATCATCCTGATCTGGCCGCGCAGAAGATGGCTGAATTTTTTGTAAAATGCAGTGAGGATCCTAGCTACTGGAATAAAATATCTGATGCTGGGTTGCAAAGGATCAAAGAAAGGTTAGCATCAAGCCGTCAATAATATTTAAAAGCACGCGTAGAGGCAGGTTGCTAACTTGGTTTGTGTTTTAAATTGCAGGTATACCTGGCAAAAGTATTCTGAAAGGTTAATGACCCTAGCAGGGGTATATGGATTTTGGAAATATGTCTCCAAACTGGAGAGAAGAGAGACTCGACGTTATCTTGAGATGTTCTACATTTTGAAGTTCCGTGATCTGGTCAGTTCATTCTTCTCTGTCCACTTCTTTGTAGCTTCTGTCCCATTTTTATCTCCTTCAGGTTTGTACTGTATGTGCCTTTCGAACTTATAATGAGAGGAATTTTTTACCTTCAATATTTCTTGAAAAGCAAGTTAAATAATCACTCACCAGAGAGTAGTAAATGTGATAATTCAGGATGTAGGCTATATTTCAGCATGTTTCAACTCACACCGCGCACGTGGAACTATTGAACCGAGTGTAGCATTCTTTTGAAATACTTGTATTATATATTAGGAGAGAACTATTATAAACTGGTGTATCATGCATACCCTATGAAAATAATTAGTGTAGTAGTTAAATTTTGACTGTAACTGAACATATGCTTGTTATTCCAGGCTAAGTCTGTTCCCCTGGCAGTAGATGACGAGCCTTCTTCCACAGAAGCAGTTGCAACATTTCGTGGACCTTGAAAGCTGTTGCTTACTCTGATGTATAATTATGTTTACATCCTCAGGGAACGAATAAGTGTTGCCTATACTAGGTTTCACCTGTAAGTAACGTATGTTTTTTTATGCAAATAAAGAGTTCATCAACAATGTAATTTTGTTGTTGATTTGTGTTCTCGTGGAAATCAGGATCACTTTATTCATTTTTAGCCTGCATGACGCAGAATGTATCATTATGATAACATGTTTAAGTGTTTGAAGTATCAGTGTATTGTAAATAAACGAATTTGAATGTGAGTATCCAGCGCTCATTAAAGAGTGGGATACGAAATCGTTGTAAATATTGTAATTTTAAAGTGCCAATGAGCATAGTTTGATCCTAAATAGAAATCGTTGTTGTCCTTGATAGATATGTAAGGACTCTAAGGAGTGCAACTGTTGTTGCTACTATAAAAGGGCTCTTCAAGTGAATTGAATCTCCAAGGAGAGAGCCAACTCAACTCTACCCCAACATGAGGATTTATACTCCGTATTTCTTTAAATAGGAAATGTAACAATTATTTTATGAAGGGTTAAAAGAGACAAATGTTGTGACTCTTGTGAGTATTTGAAACTAATGAAGTAAAATAATCCAGAACAAAGGAAATACGATGCATAGTAGTCCCCCTTCCCTTTTCTATAGACCCATGTTTACTTTTTGAGGGAAGGCAAAAGTGAAGCATGCATGAGTTGGTAAAAAAAAAAACATTTTTAATACTTTAATAAATTTCCATATCCACTTATGATATGGAGCAAACTCAAACAAGCTCCTAAAATTAAAAATGGGGCAAAATTTGAGGGATAGAAATTATCAAACCCAAGTTGCCCAACATATATTTTTATGATTATAGAAGTACTATGAAATTTTAATTTTCTGTTTATTTTATTTATTTATTTTTTTCTTTTTTTTTTTTGGTGCAAACAAGGGGCTAGGCCCCAAGAAAATAAACTAAAAAAATACCAAACTGAAATTAAACGTGGCAAGCTCACTCCTACGATATTATCATACAAGATACGTCCTAACTTAATAGGGGGGAATTGAATCAACTCGATATTGTTGTTATGGACGACACCTTGGTTTGCTAGCCAATCCGCAGCCTTATTCGCTTCACGGTAAATATGATGAATTTGCACCTGCCAATTGCTATCTTCAATAAGCTGCTTGCACCTCGTTATGATATGATACCCTTGGCCTCGGTGAACTTCCTCATTGTTCAAAGCTGCAACAACGATTTGACTGTCTAGCTGCACTTGGATCTTCGCTGCCCTCATCCTCTTTGCTAACTCCAAGCCATATTCAATAGCTTTTAACTCAGCCATGAAGGCATTACAATCACCAAGCTTGAGAGCAAAACCGTGGAGAAATTTCCCAGTGTAGTCACGAATCAGGCCCCCACCCCCTGTTGGTCCTGGTGCTCCTTTAGCTGCGCCATCAGTGTTCAAAGCAAGCCAACCAATAGGTGGAGCTAGCCATCTGATATAGGACTCATTACGTGCCCTTGCATGCTGCTGAGCACTACTACTCACATTATCACCTAGCACACGCCATACCTCTTCAAAACGCGCAAGAAGGAATTGATTTATATCAACTGGAATTTCTTGTGGTCTATCAAACATATAATTATTCCTCCATCTCCAAATCCACCACAAAGTAATAGTGAAATACGATCATGCATTGCAAGCCAGAGAAAAACCTTCACCCTTTGCTGGACTTTTAGCTTCCATATTAGATTCCAAACACCATCATTCTCAATAGCATCATCCCTTCTTATAATCTTCATAGCTGATTTAATTGAGAAATTCCCTTTTGAAGATCCACCCCAATACAATAAGTCTCTAGAATCCGGATTTTTTCGCAAGGTACGAGCTTCAATTAATTTTATAGCATTAGCAAGTAACAAATCCGCAAATAAGTCCCACTTCTAGCCATTGTACGTCTTCATCCCATAATTCCTCCACTGTTGCGCCATCAAGATGCGAGGGTATTTCAACAATAGCAGCAGCCCGCAGAGGACTAGGCATAGCCCAGTTTGTGATCCCAGAATAAAGTTGCAGCTCCATTCCCTATAGCCACCCTTGAACTTGCACAAATAAACTTGGCATTTTCTGGGATGCCCCTCCAAACATTTGACATGTTTGTCTTAGATTCAAACATGTCGATGTCACATCTCCCCTTGCGATATTTAGCTCTAAGAACTCGAGACCATAAGGCATTAGGTTCGGTCAAAACACGCCAACCTAAATTAGTTAAGAAAGCCGCATTAGTTTGCCTTGAAGATCTATTCCCCAAATACCCTTCTTCTTTCGGTTTTTGAGGACACTCCCAATAAATTAGGTGGATTCTACGATTCTCTTCATCACCACCCCAAATAAAGCGTCTAGTTCGTATATCAATCTCATCACAAATTGATCTTGGGATTCTTGGTGTTTGCATTGCATAAGAACTCATAGTAGTCAAGGTTGTTTTTGCTAGAGTTATACGGCAAGTAAGAGAAATGTATTTAGACTGCTTACACCCCGCAAGTCTAAGATTAATTTTTTCGCGTAGAAAAATTTTAATTCTCTAAATATGGTGGAATTACAAGTTTAAACACGTTCAATTTTAGGTGTTGTTTGGTTGGAAGATAATTTCCTAGGAAAGTATTAAAATAAAGGTGTGTTTGGTTGGAGAAATTACAATTTTAAGGGAAATACAAATTCCCACAACCTATGAAAAATTATTCACCAACTCCCCCTTTGGTGAGTTGAATTTCCTAAGAAATGCAATTTCCAAATAATTTAGCTATATTCCTAGGAAACCATAAGGGAAATTTTTTTCCATAAAATATAAATTTCCATAGAAAGTTAATTCTCATGTGAACCAAACGAGCACTTGAATCCAATCCATAATTAACTAAATGCGTCACCTTTTTACTTTTGACTAAATTCCCTTGATTTGTTTTTCATATAACCAATCAACTCTGTTAGAAAGATCCATTAAAAATAAAAATAAAAAATAAAAAGTTTCTTTTTTTTGGCAAATATTTACTACCTTTATGTAATACGGAGTATTTTTTTTTTCTTTCCACGGTTAAAAGTTATAATTTCACATACTCCCTCCATTTCATATTAATCGTAACACTTTTCTTTTATATGTGTTTCATATTAATTGCAACAATTCTATATTTGGAAATAATCCACCATTATTTTATAATTTTTCTCTCCCACTAACTCCACTTTCACAAATATTTTATTATTTTTCTTTCCTATCAACCCCACTTACACTACTTTTTTATTATTTTTTTCTCCTACTGACAATACTTTATATTATAAAAATCCTCTTTTGGGCCCCATCCTACAAATTTTCTTAAACTTTGTGAAATACCCTAGTGTTGCGATTAATACGAAACGGAGGGAGTATTTGTTTAGTTGACACTATTTTGACTTTTGCACTATTCACAAACTATACTTTAACTGACTTTTGTGATCTATACCTACGATAAAACATAGTCATGTAGATCTTGTTTGAATCGTCCTAATATATGTTTTATTAATATCTACTGTCCTAATATATGTTTTATTAATATCTACTTTTTATAATTTTACAATATTTGTAATTAGATATATTAATCGTTAAAATTATGCGGCATTGACAAGTATGTTAATAGAATAGTGGCAATTAAAAAAAATGGAGCTAGTAACTCACAAATTATACTCTTAGGTTGCAAATTATGTATCTTAATAAAAAGAGTATTATTCTCTCCATCTCATAACATGATGCATATTTCTCTCATGTTCACCATTTCTCTTAGTCTTTAGATTTAAAGTCACAAAGCCCTGCTCTTTTGAGTTTTTGAGCATAGCAGATCAAGTTTCAGCAGAACAGAGCAGGTGTCACTCGTGTCAGTAAAACAGAGCTCAGTAGAGTAGAGCAGACTACAACAACTTAAAAGAACAGGGACTATGTACTTGCTATGAAAATAGAATTATACACTCTTTTGTGTAACATTGAGCAGGTGTGAGCATGGGTCGGGTACCTGTACCGTTAACACTAACGGTTCGGGTAACCGATAACCAATATCACTAAAAGTGATATCCATTAGCCGAACCGATAAGTTCGGGTATCCGGATTTTTGGATCAGTTATCGGTTACCCAATAAGATATCCAATAATAATAATTAAACTTAATAATATAGTTATTATGATATCATTCAACACTAATTAACAACAATACTACATGATCTTGACCAAATTATTTGTAAAATTACTAATTATTCATATTATGAAGTAAAGTAAGAGTTTAGATTTTGGATAAATAGATTTAAGTAGGAAAAAAAAAATATTTATCGGATCGGTTAACCGTTAATTTTAATATGATACCCAATAACCATACCCGATAACAAATTATCGGATCGGGTACCTGAACCGTTATGCTTATCGGATCGGGTACCCTAATTTTCGAATCGGTTACGAATCGGATTTTCGGTTTTTCTTATTTGGTAGTTTTGCTCATTCCTTGTCAGTGAGACTGGGGGAGTATTGAGATCAACAAGAAAATATAAATTCCACAGTAGAAAACACGCAAGATATGAAAAGAATTCTTGCGAAATCGAGTTTCTTATAATTATGAAACTTTATTTAATTAATTAATGTAATATTGGAATATAGTTAAAGATTAGTACCAAAAAGTTAATACAAGTAGGGCCAAAAAGCAAAAGAAAATCCTTGAAATCAGGCAATGGAAGCATGAAAAAGATTAGGGTCAGCTAAAATCGAGTCAGTCAGCTCCTTATTCCCAGTAATTTTTTTGTATGACAAAAACTGCCCCTACCAATAAACCCCTATTGCTGCTTTTTCAGTAACCTTTATGGCATTTTTCTACTCTCACTTATTATTATTTAATATCCGTATCACATGTTCATCTTCTCATGCTCTCTCCCTCTTTTTTTTCAACTTTCATTGGTCAGGGTTTTATTCCCTCGGTTTTACTTTTTTTCACCGCTGTAAATATTTACTCGTATTCGCCCGATTACCATTTAATCCTGTGAAGTGACTGAATTTGATTTCTCTTTATTAAGGAATAATATGTACTTGACCTAATACACCTAACCTGTACCTCATTACTCGACTCGAACTAGACTCAAAATTAAATAATGACCAAACTTGTCCTTAAACCAGAAAAATAACCGACTTGATCCGAATTAGAGTTAATCGGCTTTTAACCCGATACTCGAAGTGACCAGATTCTACTGTACCCAACCTAAAGTCAACTAGATACGATGTGACCCGACCCAAAGTGGATTCGGTTCATGAAGTTACTCGGCACCCGACGTGATGACCCAACCCGAATTTAATCAATTGACACGAACAAATCTGATACTCGAAGTGACCGGATTATGACAATAAGTCAATAAAAATAATATTGTATTAATGATGACATCAATAACAATGATATTAATAACAAAAATAAATTTGATCTCCCGATCTGAGCTTGATTGAAAGTCACAACCCTAAATAATAATCTGACCTAAACTTGACCTGAACTGATATGACCCAAGACCCGAAACTTGACTTGACCGAAGTGATCCAATTCGAACTTTACCTAGCCAAAGTATCGACTCGATCCGATTATCTATTGACCCGAACATACTTGACCCCGAAATGACCCAAACTGAACAAACTAGTTATGAGAGCTTTTGGTCAAATTATTGCAACTAAAAGTGAATGAAGGAAGTATGATTTTCCTTTTTCTTTTTGTTTAACAAGGTAAAAAGAGGAGTTTAGCTCCCATTCGACTCGACACTACAGGTAATGCAATAAAATATTTTACACTTTTACCGTTCTAACACAAGAAAATAGATCGTGTGATAGAGGATACAACTTTCATGTCCTGCTAAGAAGTACAAATATGATGTTTGACAATTTCCTTCATGGATGCTTGTCATTAGATGATGAGTCGAGCTTGCTAGTGAACTACTCGAGGCTCAATTCGGTCAAAGCTCGGTATAGGCTCCCTCGAGTTCAGTTCAAGATTTTAACGAGCCAAACTTCGGCCATCCTCAGCTTGGCTTAAAAGCTCAAGAACAAGACCAAGTTTTATTGTATAATATTAATGTTTTTGTAATAAATTAATTATTACATAAACTTTGTTTCATATTTAGGGCTGAGGATCTAGAAATAACATTCAAAGCTCTAGCTTGCGTACTTGCTGAGTGTTGGAGCTGTCCTACATGGTTTTTATTGTTGTTTATGTAGAAGAAAAAGAGCAAAAGAAAAAGGAAGTAGTCCCACATCAAAAGATACAAGCAAGTGATAAAATATAAGAGTTATAAAAGAAAATTTTGATCGTCTTTGAAACAATAATGCCTGAACCACTTGGACCTTGCTTATTTAGGGCTTGACAACCTTCATCGAGTAGAGCCGAGCTCAATTTTTCCAGGCTTGACGAGCTTCGAGATCAAGTTGAGTCTACCTAGGCTCAGTCTTGGCTTGACTCGTTAAAACCCCTACTTGGGATACATTTTACCTTTTTTGTTTTTCATCTTTGACATGTACGACTTTCCATGTTTCCTTGTCTTGGAGGAGAACGTACTAGAAGGTAGTGGATGGATGTGAGTATAGAATGATTTAGTTGGTTTCAAGAGTGGAAGTATGAATTTTCTTTATTCTAGTTTTCACAATATTTGGCTCAAACTTTGGATGAAGTTTATCTTAGCTATTAGGTAGTGTTATATTCATTTGAATTTCACTTATCTTAGCTTATACTTTATTTGTTTCATACTAGTTGATATATAATTTTTAGGCGTGTTTGCCAATACATAACTTCAAATAATAATATTTTCAATTATATACCAAAAACTATAAAAATTTAATACTAACTAGTATTTGAAATTAGATGTTGAAGTGAATCAAACAAGATCCCACTCGATTATGTCTTATCCTAAGAATAAATTACAAAAGTCCAAATAACGTACGTGAATACTGAATAGTGGCAAAATTGAAAATGTGTCCATTATAATTAAATGGGGGAAGTATTATCTTATTTATTAATCTTATACTTATCTTATTTGAGCTTATTAGCACTTATTTTATTTTATCTAAACTTATCGGTCCTTATTTTACATATGAAGTATTATGTAAACATATATATACTTCCTCTGTTTTTTTTTAATCGCAACGTTTGAGATAGGGTGTCAGAGTTTTCGGATAAATTTTCTCAACCTTAATGTTAAGTATGTGAGTGTAAAAAAAAAAAAAAAGTAGTTACGACGGTTTAATAAAGTTACATAATTTGGGCATAAAAAGTGTACATAATGTGAAGGGTGTAATGTAGTAAATAATCTTACGTATTTATTTAAGATCAGAGTCAAATTTTCAAATTTAGGATAATTGGCCACAATAGCACCACACAGCGTCATAAACTATTGCGGATAGAAACAACAGCACACACTTTGACCAAGAGTAAACTCATGCAATGACAAAATAAGTTTTGAGATAATACCTAGACATGAGATCAAATCTCCTTTATATCATCTGTCAATAAAAAATAATTTTGACCATGTTTAGATACAATTTCAAACAAAGCACTATGCATGGCGTAAGTGGTTTCAAACAATTTTACACACAAATAAGACAACAATGTAGGTGGTAACTAAAATTGTGTCTTCTGAATTTAATGGAGTCAAGATCTTTTCAACTTCCCCTCTAAAGGAATTGTTAAGGATAATGGTCCAGCCCAATTGCATGAACAAGCCTACAATCATCTAGGCCTAAGGGTTGGTAAAGCCTAATCTCTCATACATACAACTAGAAAGCATAGGATGTTAGAACTTAGAACAGCTTCACATGTCAATTTCTAGATAAGTGAAGTTACTCAATAACTTAGGTTAGGTTTTTAGGTTTTTAGGTTATTTCTCTTAAAAGTAATTTTTTGAAAGTAAACCTTTGTAGTATTAATAGAACATAAGCAACTTAATTACTTATAATTCATACATTTTTATTCTTTCTATCTCTAAATAAAAGTCTCATTTGACATTTGCATGTGTATATATTTTAAGAAGTTGAATGTATAATAATTGAAATTTAGCTGATTGAATTGGTGAATTTGTAAAGAAAAGGTTGAGGTTTAATTGATTAAAGTTGAATTAAAAAAAATAATGGATGAATAAAATTTGTGTTTAGATATAAAAAATTTTAGTTAAGACTTATATTTAAGGACAAATGGAGTACACATTAATTTGAAATATGTATGTTGTTTGAAAACTCCAATTATTGAAAGTGATAAACTAAGTATCAAGGATTAAAAATGTGAAACTATTTGTTCAATTATATTTCTTGTACATTTTAGCACTATTTTATATAGTTTTCACCAATTTACCACTCCATTTCTCATATTACGATGCATAATGCAATACATTAATTTACTTTAAACCATAACCTTCTCTATTTTAGTTACAATTGCCTTCGTCGAAGAAGATTGCTCGTATTTTTAATCTAACAACATCAAACAACCAACATATTAAGCAAAAGATTTTCACATTACTTCCCAAGAAACACTTGCAAGTTTCATAGTACAATAACTTTAAATAATCAAGCATATATCTACATGAACACTAATTCATTCACAAATAGGAATACGAAGTAATATACAAATAATCTACAATTTGCAAATTTAGATAAAAAGAGTATATTATAATATTAAAATAAAGTCCAATGTCCAATACAAAACACTGACAATATGGACTTTACAATAACGAACACGCCGTTTGTGGCACGAACCAGCAAATATTACCCGTTAAATAGGAAATTCCACCCTAATAACATTTCTCCTTAAATTCTTCAAACTATTGTACTACTAAAAATTAATAATAATATTAGTAGTAAATTAAAAAAAAATTAAAAAAAAAAAGGCAGAACCACTCTCTTTTCTCAAGGGGCTCCAACTTTAGATCCTAAACCCACTAATTACACTTCATTAAATTTAAAAAAAAAAAAAAAAAAATCCCTTAAAAAAGTAATTAGGGAAGGTGCCCAAAATAATTGGGTTACTTTAGAGTTGTCCATAAGAGTGAGCCAAATAAGCTAGGGCACCCACAAGAGGAGCATTGATGTAAGTTGATGGCTCAGATTGTTCATAATCAGACCTTTCATCTGGGAAATTATCATGAAGATCTGGCCCACCAACAATTGCACCAACATGAACATTTGGGTTGGGTGATTCTGTGTTCATGAAATCAAATCCTGCTGAGCAAGTGATTTTTTGTGGGTGTGATGTGATCGACGGTAGCGATGCACCTCGGTGATGGATTCGTTTCGGGTAGTTCGGTCCGTACCCTACCATGTAGGACATCTTTTTTGGGTTTGTACCCAATAGATAGTCTACCTGTAATTTTTAGTCACGTAACATGTTAGCCATCAAACAACTATTGTTACACGAACATATTCAGAAGTCGATACAAGCATGAATTTAGTGATAAACCTGTTTTTTGGCGATTGATCGAAGGGTTCGGGCAGTGACAACGGTGCCACCACACGACACGGTCATGCGAGAACGTTTAAGGTACTTAGCATAGGTTAATAGAAGGAATGAGGTAGATGTTACATATTGCATGTTGTCATCACTCATCTTAAACAATAGTCCTCCTACACATACACATTGTATTTATTAAATTAGCCGTTAGAAAATGCCAATTTCATGATTCACCAACAAAATTCATATCAAAAACAAAAAAAATATTACTGTTATAGAGTATTAAGGGGCCCACCTGGAGTGTATTGAGCAGTGGAGAATGGTGCACCAGGAACGAGGGAACAAATGAAATTATCAGAGTGGCTTTTGTATTCATGGAGTCCTTGCATTCTTTGAACAAGGAAAGACTGCCCAAATAGTAAGCATATACCATTATTAGTAACACAGATCGATACGTGATTTGTTGTGATCAATTGTACTACTTTTGGAAACACGGGTTATATTTAATGTAATTAAAGGCTATAAAAAAGACTCAAAAAAAGAGTGAAAGTACCTTTGAAAGAAGAATTCTAGCACCAACATGCTTGTTATCCCAACCAAAAGTAAAATCCTCTTCACTAGCACCAAGAACTTGACCATTTCTTTGAATGTAGTTTAGGTACATTGGGTTCCTTGTTGCTCTATGTAGCCAAGCAGCACCCCATAAAAGCTCATCCTAATATAATATTAAAAATTAATTACTGTAAAATAATTATTACTAAAAACAATTAATTTTAATTAGTAGAATATTGGTAATTTAAATATTTTGATGAGAAATTCTTGGTTACCTGATAACCAGAGTAAGAGCAATAGAAGGGACAAACATAGCTCTTGAGCCCATCACTGTAAGTCCCTCTGTACTTATCAGCAAACTCAAAAACCTTCACCCAAAAATTGGCAAAAAATTAATAAAATAATTAAAATATTAATGAAAAAATTATAAAAGTAAGAAGTACTCGAAAATGAAGGGTGTGAAAGTACGAAAGTACCCTAATGGCACGGCTAATGAGGACCCTTGAATAGGCACGGTCACTCCTCCTAAAGACCATAGAAGCAGCAGCAAGAGCAGCAGCAGTCTCAGCAGCAACCTCAGTACCAGGGGTATTTTTGTCAACTTTAAATACACTTCTTGGTGTGTCCATATCTTCTGGCCTTTCCCAACAAGCATGATCCTTTTGTGCATCTCCCACCTAAACAAAAAATTAAAACAACACCCATTTTAACAATTGTCATTAAAAATTACGGCACATGTTCTGATTTAGATATCACATTACTAGTTCAAAATACACTATTAACGTGACAACTAATTACGGGTACCTGAACATAGATGGTGTCAGGATGTGCGGTAGCTTTTAGAAGATAATCAGTACCCCAACGAACAGCTTGTTTAGCATGTTGGAGTTCTCCTTTCATAAGGCCACCAAATTCAATCACACTCCATGATAACATTGTGGTTGTAAATGCCATTGGAAACCCAAACTTAACATTGTCCCCTGCATCATAGTACCCTCCTACTAAATCAACCTGCATTTTAATTTTACAGCACCAAAAAATAATCAGATAAATACCCATTAAGCCTTACAAAATTCCCAGAAAAATAAAGGAATAATCACAAAATAATGATTAAAAAATGAGGGAGAAAATGTAGGAAAATACATGAGCTTGAGCTCCGTCAGAAAGACCAGAGTCTTTTCTCCAAGAAACTCTTTGGTTAGCTGGGAGTTTTCCTGATCTTTGGCCTTCGAAAAAGAGGATGGATTTTGTGAGGGCATCTCGGTAATTGTGAGAAGCGAAGCGAGAATGGCGGGGGTGGTGGTAGCTTCTGAAAGGGTTTCCATTGCAGAGGAGAAAGAAGGTGAAAAAACAGAGCAGTAAAAAAACAGGGGATGTTGAAGAAGAAGAAGCCATTGATGGAATTTTGGAGGGAAAATGGAGGTAAAAATAGGGTTTTTTTTAGAGAGAGAAAAAGGGTAGTGTTGGAATTGACTAAATAACCAACAACTGCCCTCTTCTTCAGAGAAAAAGGTTAGAGGAGAGAGAAAATGAGTGTGAGAAGGGCAGAGTAAACAGAGTGCTCTGCTTCAGTTTTTATAGTGAGGAAAAGGGGGGTTTTGCATTCTATGATTGTGTTTTTTTCTTTTTCCTTTTTTTTTTTTTTTTGAAGGGTGCTTTTTGCAACAATTAATTTCTTTATCTTGAATTGGATTGGATATGATCCATATTAATGATTTATTCTAGGTCAGTATGCCATGCTCTTTGGATGGTCTTGTATCAATTCCATGCCATGGTAATTATGTTTGTTTTGGATAACATAATTGATTCAAGATTGAACCTAGAAAGTTGTATACAAGGATGACATATTAAATTTGTATGGTTATGTGATGTATCGTGTTGGTATCGAGAACGGAGCATAGAGTACATTATTTTGCCTTTAGATGATTCAAGCTTTGAGAATGAAAACTAACTTATCTTCATAGCACACGGTCTCACATTCTCACAACAATTACAATATTAGTAACCTAGCTTTGAACCCCTTCTCGCCTCCATAGATTGTGTCTAATCGAAATCAAAACAGTAGTCTACTCTATCGGTAGCACTGTTGTTCCCTTAGCCATTCGTGCCACCATTTGGAATTTCAAATGAAACAAATAGTTACTATTCCAACCACAATATGTATTCTATAGTCAAAATTGTGCTCCACAATTCTAATGGTATTATGATGAAAACATCTCAAAAAGGTAAATTACTCGTTGTTGTAAAGAGATTTGCCTCCACGATGAAATTAATCAATACTAAACTAAATTTTGCCAGGTTCATACCAACTTTCATAAATATTTCATATGTTAAACTAGATATATTCATGGTAAAAAATAACTCAATATAACCCTATCATTATCATTTATCAAGCATAATGTATACGTTGTACTTCGAGGTCAACAAAGTAGCGGACTTTATTGCCTCAATTATACGTCACATTTTGAACCATTTGAAAAACAAGTTTGAGCAAGATGTAAACAGATAGATTCATTTATTTTTACTAAGCTAAGACAAGATTATCCAATTATTATATATTTATATTGTATGGTGGCTAATATAGTAATAAAGTCCACATTATAGAATAGTAATAATAAAATAACGAATAGCTTGAATGTAACAATTTATGTAACGAAAAAACAGAATATAATCATCTTGCCGTTAGTTACGGTAATTGAGCAAGACGGCACTAATGGCCGTGGATGTTAGATTAGGACCGGTCAGTTGGGGACGTTACTCACAAAAGTGCGGTCTCGTGACTAACTTCATAAGAGTAGTACAAGTAGTTAAATTGCAAAACGGTCAACAATATTGTCTTACTTTAGGATACATTCCAACGAAAGGGACTTTCTGAATATTTAGTCCTCCCTCCGTATCACAATACACTCTCCCTCACGTATATTTTGCTACTAATCTCTCTCTTATTTAAGTACTTGCTAGGTGATTAATAGTGCAAACTTATACAAAGTACTTGCGAGAAATTCTTGGTAGTGAGAATCATGTTTGGTTTAGATCTCATACAGATTTCAAATCTTGTAAGGTCATACATTGTTACCGAAGAGATAAATTCCGTGAATAGATAAACTCCATTGATGTCTTCTTGTTAAGCTCACACTTTATGCCTAATATATGAGTAAGTTTATGGGGGTAACTTAGACGCATTTTTTAGATATTGCCACATCAATTTTATTATTAACTTTAACTATATTTTATAATGGTGTATGATGAGTTGACATAACATTATTGGCCTAAAGTATATACTGTCAACAAATATTCCCATTTGGTGAGTTTTAAAGTAAATATTAGTTGTTCCTTAAAAAAAAAAAAAAAGTAGTAAATATTGGTTGCGTTTGGCGAATAGCTGAAAGTTGAAACTGATTGTGTTAGCTGGTTTTGACTAGTTGGTTATACTAACTAATTGTATTAGCTGACTTTACAAAAGTGTTTGGTAAAAATTTGAATGATTAAAACTGTTTGAGTATACAAAATAACCGATAAGGACAATGACATTTTTTTTTGTGAAAGATTAGTTATTGCCAAAAAAAAAATTAAAAATAAATAAATAAATAAATAAATAAATAAATAAATAAATAAAATATTGTTATACGAGATTATGACTACATAGAATTATCATTCACCTTAACACTTTGTTTGGATATAAGGAAATGGAAGGAAGAGAAGGGAAGGGGGATAGACTCTCTTGTTTGGGTAAAAGATTCGGGGGAAGGAAGGGAAAGGAGAGGGAAGGATCCATTTTTCCTCTCTCTTTAATAAGCATATTCCCTCCAAAATTGGAAAGATTTGGAGGGAAAATGGAGTTCACCTCCTCCTCCCTTTCTTTCCCCTTCCCTTCCTCCTATTTCTCTTCCCTTCCTTTCCTTTCCTTCCTTATTAGTGTAAATTGTTTGAATAAGCTGATGAAACAAACTTTTTCAAATGTCAAAAATATTAAATAATAAACTCCTCCAAGCAACTTATTGGAAATAACCTCATTGGGTGGAATAAGTTTTTCAAATCAACTAACCACCAAATAGTTCAACCAACATATGTATTCTTTGCCCACAATATAGCAAATCTTGCTCAAGAGTCATATAAGACTCCCAATAAACTTGCCCTAACCCTTTCTCCTTATGTCCTCCTTAAAACATACGGTGAGGATTCAAACTCGTGGATAGAATGAAGTAGGTTAGTATAGTATTATCATACTATTTCATTATCTCTTAATTATTAAAATAAATCTATAGATAATTCACGAATCTAACTACTACCTTCGTTAATGGTTATGTGCAACTTTGGGGTTGTTTGTGATTTACGAAGCAAAACTTGAGGGGCAAATATTAGAGAAAGTAAATGAACTTAATTATAGGGATAGGAGTAAGAAAGTAGGCCCACCCATTTGCAATTTTGGTGGGAAAATCTGGTCCTTTTATGAGGGACTTGATTTCCCCCAAATTTTCACCAAAAATTCGAATTGGTTGAATTTTTGGTGAAAATTTGGGTTCCCTCCTACTTTAAAAAAAATGGTACAATTTCAATTTTTTTTAAGGCATTTACAGCCTTCATTCAACATTTAAGAGGCATATAAATACCAGCCTCCATCATTCCAACACATTCAATATTTACAAACATAAGGTTTCCTCAAAAGATGAATTTGTTAATCCAAAAGTTAGCACTAAATACACATGATTAGCCCATTAAAACCCCAAAAAAAAATCCCGTAAACTGAAATTAGTGCTGCACATCATCAAGTTCATAAGCTGCATATCCTAGCATCCTTCATCTCCTCCAAAAAAAAAAACATCAGCCACCCCTACATCATCAAGCTGAAGCTGAAGAAAAACAATTCAGACAACACACGACAGAATTTGTTGAAACTCTGTTTTTCGATGTTGATAAAATACTAACAGAAGAAGAGCTGGCAGAATTGTACTATGACCATGAAGAAGATATGCAAGATCTAGGCTTGGAGGACTATGGATATGAAGATGAGAACATGGAAGACAATCAAGAAGAAAAACATGGCCATCAAAATACACAAGCTGAGGTTGATTCCCTAGAAATGCAACAACCAAAAGAACAAGGGACTCAAGTTCCACAAAGAAAGCAGCTCCCTATGCAAAAGAAAAGAGAGATTGTTGATGCATTGTTGGTCAAAATGCATGAGGGGAACTTACCAAGGGGTCACATGAAACATTTATCAGTTCAATTCAATGTTCACAAATCCACCATCACAAGAATGTTCACCGACATAAAAAAAAAATAACAGATGGCACAAGGGAATTTGATTGATGTCAGGACTAAGAAGTATGGTAGAACAGGTCCAAAGCCAATGCAATTTTCTGATGAATTTCTAAAGTCAGTCCCTTTGCATTTAAGGCAGACAGAAAGGAGTTATGCAGCAGCATTGAAGATCTCTCATGTTACTCTTCATAATTTGAAGAAAAAGGGAAGGCTAAGAACACACACAAGTAGCAACAAGCCAGTACTGTCATCAGACCACAAGGTAGCCAAACTCAAATGGGTTTTGTTAAATATTAATTCAATTACAGGTAATGAGGACCCCACATTTTTTGATATGAACCATGTCATACACATATATGAGAAATGGTTCTATCTGAACCCTGATAAGAGGAGGTTTTATCTCCTACCAAGTGAGGAAGATCCATACAGGGCAATACAGTCCAGAAGATTCAAGCTCAAGGCAATGTTTATGGCCTTAATTAGGAAGCCATTGTATGACACAAATGGAGAACTACTCCATGATGGGAAGTATGACATATTCCCATTCACTGTCAAACAACTAGCAAAGAAATCCAGCAAAAACAAAGCAGCAGGAACTTGGGAAACAAAGGCACTCCAGAATGTAAACAGAGAAGTGATTAGAGATATGTTGTTGACAAAGGTCATACCAGCAATTATCTCAAAGTGGCCTGAAAGTCTGGCTAAAAATGTTGTCATCCAATGGGACAATGCAAGGCCTCACCAAGTTCCTAAGGATGAAGAGTTTATGGCAGCAACCAAAGCAAATGGGTTCAACATTCAATTTGTTTTTCAGCCACCACAGTCACCTTATTTGAATGCGCTTGATTTAGGGTTATTTAGGTCTATTTAATCTTTGAAATATCAGTCTTTTCTTAGCAACCTAGATGAGCTAGTTGAAAAAGTGATAGACTCTTATGACACATTCAATCCTCAAGTTAACAAGTACATTTGGGTGACTTTGCAAAAATGCATGATAAAGATCCTTAAAGGTGGGAACAAGTACAAAATACCCCACATGAACAAAAAAACTTGAAAATCTTGGCATTCTACCAGATCAAGTAGAAGTGAAGAAGGAAGTAGTGATGGAGGCTGTGGAGTACCTAAACACTATGTTTAGGCCAGCAAATCATGGCACTGAACAAGCAACAGAAGATATGGAGGTAGATGCAGACTAGGGGACTCATCACAACAATGAAGAAACACATGGACTGCCACACATAACCACTTAGCTCTGTTAATCCTTTTTTTTTCATTCACTTGTTAGGTGGTTAGGTGTATTTTGTTGATTACAATAACGATGCAAACATGTAAGACAGTCTTATGTAAGGTCTTTTGATGAAGGTATGGTCCTTTTGTACCCACATTTTGAATGGAATAGAAATGAAAAAGAATCAGCTGTTATGTGGGCACTCAATCCATTAGAAGCTTTGTATGTCATTGTTGAATACAACACTAAGTCACAAAGTTACCTCAACAACAACAGCATAAAACAAATTGTTGGAGCAAAACACTTGTGTTTAGTGAAATTCAATGGAGTCTCTTCATCATTT